AATCTTAAATATTAATGCAAATAGTAATACATAATTTAGAATAAACTGACAATAAATAATTAAATATGACAATGAAATATTCTGAGCTATGCATGCTGAATATCCCATTTGACATAATGAGTTTACTCAGGCTAGTGAATATAAGAAATAGCCTACATAAGACATATGAAACTTTAACATTAACTGTATATAATAGGAATGTTTCCACTCTGGATTTTCACTCCAGCATCGAGCATGCCCACAAATCGAATTAATCTTAATTATCACATAATTGACAGATGTCTTTAAACAAAATACTGAGCTGCTGAGGATAACCTAATCCAATTGCACACATTCCTTTTTGTCAATTGCTAAATGAATCATGAAATTTGTTACAAAACTTTACATAAACATTTTGCGCAAAGTATGCAACAGTTAGATCAGAGCACAATATAAGTTAAAGGAGAACTCCGGTCAATTTTACCATTGAGCTAATTTTTTTGTACATTTGGAGTGCTGTCAGTACAGACAAAAACGACAAAAATCGGTGTTGCCTACACCGTGTTATCCTCTTTTTAAAATTCGCACCCTGTTGACTTCAATGGGGCAAGTTCTAAACCTGCTTTTAGCCTCTTAACAACCTTAATGTGTCATTACAAGTGCACAGCCATGTGAGTGGTGTTATTAAGAGTGACCACGGTCAATCTGACTGCAGTAGATGTGAAAGATATTAATAAAAATGATGTTAATTCAGCCAGCTCACATACCTGTATTTACTTCCTGTTTTCGTTCGAAGTCCACAGTAGTCGATTGTCGAGTTCGCGCGCGCAATCATTAGTTATATTAGTTACCAATGATCGCGCCCGCGAACTCGACAATCGACTACTGTGTCGACTACATTAGTCAAGCTCGCATCAGCTGACTCTCGGCTGATCCACGTCTACCTATAGGAATACGACGCCTATCACTGTATACATATATAATCTCCTTCATGAATTATCAACAGCTGTCGTGTTTCTCAGGAGCTAATTACCCTCCTCCATCCCCAGCTCCTCCTCTCGCCCAGTCAGGATTTGGCATTCTGATTCCCCTTGAATCAGAAAAAAATTCTCGAATTTTGTTGTACTTTAAAATCTTGAATTAATGATATCTGCATACATTCATGTTGGTTCTGTTCTGTTTACCCTAAGGCGGGTTATTTCTGCTCTCCCTGCTCTTATCCATGCTAGGCTGGCCCAGAACGGAACCATACCGCCAATCCAAACTATATGCTAATTGTAACACTACAGCTATTGTATGGCTTCAGAAAACCTGGAATATAGTTGTATACACTACTTTTATAATAGTTTTATAATATTTTTGGAGCTTGGTAGAGGTGGTGCTGGTATACTTTAAACTTTCAATGTGTACAAAAGAAAAGGATGAATTAAATCATTTGATCGTATTTTATGGAAAAATAACAGCATGCAGATTTGGATCAGCATGAGGGTGAGAAAAGAAAATCATAGAATTCCGTTATATGATGGAAGATTGTACTTCTACATTTCTGCATCTATAAAAAACTCATGAATACAAACCATGTGAAATTGGTGCAGAGTGCCAAAGCATCTGTTTCATTACCAGTGTTGCATGATAACCAAACGAAGGCATCAGCAAATTAGATTAGCTTCAGTACGATGACAGATAGAGCCACATCAATCACAAACCTTCATTTGCTCTGAGGTATTTTCATTACATCCGGAAGGTTGACAGTGTTGCTATGCTGGATAGCAGTGGCCTGCCAGCTATTGAACTCCCCCCCCCACACACACACATACTCACAAACATGCACAAATAGTGAAATATCCGCCACCTCAGTGCACTATTGGCAAACTACAGCAGAGCTGGACAAACATACAGCTGTTTACTCATCGCTGAGATAATCTCATTTGTAGGGCATCTGTCTGTCCAACTCCTATAATCTTCAACTCCTCTGGTCAGTCACCTACACAGAGCACCTGCAGTTTTAACCACATCTGCCCTCTAACCCAGAACATTCACTCAAAAACATTTACCTTGAAGCCAACACATACTGTGGGTTAAATATGCTGCATTGGTAAACCATGATCAATCTAAATTCCCACCATCACTGTTATGTAACTCAGCAATAGAATGTATTACACAACCACATCTCATACTTTTGCAATTCAGATTCCCAAGCAGCAAAGAGTCGATGTTTACTATACACTATATACTTACATGACTATCAAGGCTTTAAAACGCAACTAAAATGTTCCCAATGGCGACAAAACAAATAAAACGTGCGACAATATTTTAATTTCTAGTTAATATGGTATAATTGGACATCATATGGAAAGCTTTGTACTTGTTCATATGCGTTTGTGTCACATACTGTAGCACAGGACAGGCTGTTATGTCTGATTCGTGAACAAATGACCCGTGGCAAAATCTTTCCCTCGTTCTTCGCTCAGGAGTAGAAACAAATTCTAAACAGTTTTGCAACGGTATTCTGTTTGCGAACATTCGGATGCCGTACACTTCGGTTCTTTTTAACGAATCACTCAAAAAGACTCACGAGACAGCATTGAACATGTTAGCGGTTTGAATCAGACTAACTTGAACAGTGTATCATTTAGAACCGTGACTCTTTTTGTTTACACGAAAACCTGTGAAGTTGGCCATTTGTAACTCAAATGTGCGAGGCATCTGGTGTTATCCGCTTCCAGTTATTTTAGCTATACAAAAACAGTTTGACAGTTGTTATTTTATTTTAATTTATTATCGTAATCCTAAACACGTGTGGAGTTTAATTCTTAACTGTTTACTGCTTTACTTTGTTATTCTTGTAGTTATTTATCTATGAGTGTTTTCACAGAAAATAGCTTACTTTAGCATAATACACTGGATATTAAGGTTTGTGAGAATCCGTTTACTGATTGGTTGTTCATGGTGTGTAATTAAAGATAAACATTCACGAGTTTTGTTATTGTAATCAATTAATAATGGCTTTCTAAAAACATTCATACTTTACAATTTTTTTTATTGTCTAACATATGAGGTCCAATTGTAAGGCTGAACGGACTAGACCTTTGCAAGACATGCTGGAACCTAAACCATCTTAACAGTTTACTTTATTTATTACACAAAAACAATCAAGACCATTAGAGCGACAACATCAAATTGGAACAACTTCATATGAAATACTAGAAAACAAAACACCCTATAGTTTATACAACTTAGCCAGTAAATCATCACAGTCAACATATTAAAATGCAGGGGCACACAGCAGAGACTAGTGTAAGAAAGAAACTCACTCAGTGAAGCAATTTTTAACCATCTTTTTCAAGCAAATGAGTAATATGTCAACTAAAGGTCATTTGGCTCCTAATTTTTTTCATTTTAGGAGTCAATAGATGCGTTTCCATAACCCTTCAAATTGCGCAAATTGAAATTGAAAATGGAAACACGTCAAATTTCGCAAAAACTCCCAGATGTTCTACGCTCGCATGAGGTGGTTTTTCAGGCAATGCGCAAATTGCAATGAAAAGTTATTTCGCAATTACAGGTCACCTGCATGGCGTATGTAAAATTCGATCATTCTTTAAAGATGGCGTGGTATGATTGGACAGAAGACAAGACAGAGTTTTTTATTAAACTCATAAAAGACAAAAGAATTACGGGAATACTGGATTCTAAACAACAAAGAAATGCCATAATTTATTAAGACCTCGAAGCAGATAGAAGGGAGAAAACACCCAGAAACACCTCATACGTGGCCGCTCCCAAGTATAAGGGGCTTTGCTTGGTCATTAATGCTTGGATCGCCTACATCTGCTTCAATTGCAGTGGCTGCGATATACTTAAACCTACTGACATCCGTTGCCATGATTTTTGGAATGACTTATCGTGACAAGAAAAAATGACATTTTAGTCGCATAACATCGGTAAATGGAAACACAGTCATTTTGCAATAATTTATCGACATTTAGAAAATATCGCAAAAGTTTTGCGCAGATCTGTAATGGAAACACGGCTACTGACACCGTAGTCATTTCTTTTGGAACCCTGAATAGGACCAGTCCTTTGTGTTTCACAGTTCTCTCTAATACTACACCTTTAGAGCTGAAAAACTGAACCAAGAACATAATGATCCACTCATAACTCTGTGAGTCATGACCGAGGGAGCATTTCACCCCTGAGAATGCTAAACATAAGAAAGGACTGTCTGTGACCTATCTTTACTGTACTATTACTATAATACGAGCAGAAAATAGGTATATAACATCACTGACAATAAAACAAAAAAGAAATTACATTGCATACTGGGTACATTACTATACTACCAGCAGAGATCTCTCAGGAGCTTTCCCTCTCATAAAGCAACTACCATGGTCCCAAGTGTGCAGGAAAGCTTTATTACTACCTATTAGCTAACACCTCTGAGCAAAATATCACAACAAAGGTAATAATCTTTATCATGCATACAATTGATAAGTTTTTGATTCATGTGAAACGCTATGCTGGTAATGTAAGGCATGTGCAATTTGTAAGTGATTTGTGGGCAAGCAATAAAGCATTACACTTGAGAGGCTGACAGCACTTATTGCACACCACGTGATGTCATTTTTATTTTAGCTGCTAGACCTCAACAGTTCGAACTGACAATATACTTCCACATGAGCAGAGTACCTGTCGTTATCAAATAAGACGGAGAAGTTTGCTGGTTCAGCGCACTGATTGAAAAAGCAGTGAATCTATGAAGCAGTGAATTTCGGAGAAGACGAAAATGCTTTAGAGAATCAATCCCATAGGTCACAGTACTCGTTTCAAGAGAGACAATGTATCAGATAAACTCAAATTCTGCTTAAAAAAGAGCTTTCAAGTCTTTTTGTTCACCATTTCCCTCTTTTCAACAACTAATTCAATTAGTACAAGACAAAATAAATATTTCCTATGCATTTTTCTCTTAAAAAGACCTCATTGTCTCTTTCCTCCCCCCCATCTAGCCATCCCACGGGTACCTTAAGCAGGCGCACAGACGGAAGGAAAGCTGCATGACACAGTTTCCGTATGGTCCAGTTGAGTGGCCGAGGAGCATCCAGCTGGTTCGTCGCTCCCGGCCGGACGTTCCCGCCATCCGGAAAAGGGCCCCACATTGGGGCTGCGATGCAAGAGTGGTCTCTGTCCGAAATCCTCTTAACTCATTAAGCATGACCCTCCTCAGCTCTTGCCGCAAAGCCGCGCAACCTGTTTCCCCCGACACGGAGCCCTTCACCTGCACCCCCTCCCTGCCCTCCCTCCCCTCCCCACAGATCCACAGGAACGGGAAAACACCTTCAGACCATACAGGGTGTCCGGGTCCACTTCCACTGGCCACGCAGACCCAACAGTGCCAGAGATGACGGGGAGCATGCGGTCTGAATGAGTGGAGAGAAGCAAAGAGAAGAGGAGCGAAGCTGAGTGGAGGAGAGAAGAGTGGGAAACAGTAGCTGTGATGTAGAGCAGCAGAGCGGCACTGTCTTGAAGAACCCGGAGAGAGAGAGAGAGAGAGAGAGAGAGAGAGAGAGAGAGAGAGAGAGAAAGAGAGAGAGAGAGAGAGAGAGAGAGAGAGAGAGAGAGAGAGAGAGAGAGAAAGAGAGAGAGAGAGAGAGAGAGAGAGAGAGAGAGAGAGAGAGAGAGAGAGAGAGAGAGAGAGAGAGAGAGAGAGAGAGAGAGAGAGAGAGAGAGAGAGAGAGAGAGAGAGAGAGAGAGAGAGAAAATAAAATATATGGATGGAAGCAACATGAATGATTGTACGTACTGACAAAGAGAAGGAAAAACAAAAGATTCAGGAGATCATGCTGTAGAATGAGGTTGAGAGTTGCTGCGAAGGCAAAGCACTGGAATTGATGAGGAATAATGGAAAGCAGATGGGAAAAATGATACATTTTGATCTTTGCATTTTTAACACCACATCTTTCTCTTGTTTAAGTCTTTTGGGTCACAAATGAAAAACTGAGAGGAAAGATTTCCCTGATTCCCTCCCAATCTCTTCTATTTGTACTCCTCTGACCTGTTCTCCTCTATTCCCTCACTTTTCTCTTCCTCTGTAGCCCCCTCCTGCTCCTCCATCCCTGCACACTCCATCCTTTCCAAACATGACGCATTGACCATCGAAAGGATAATGGAGTAGAGAGAGGGGGGGGGAGAGAGAGAGAGAGAGCAACACTGGATTGAACTGCTCCCTTCCATTGGATGGGTTTAATAATCCAGTGTTTATTATACGGTTTTATATGCCCTTGTCTCTGAAAACGTGTCAGGGAAAAAAAAATCTCCCTTAGGGAGAAGTGTTTAAACAAATAAATGGTGCAGTAGAAATGGAGAGAATGCAGTAGAAGAGTTGGCCATTGTGCACTGCAGTCACTAGGTCGGCATCCCTGTGGAGCAGATCGTAATAATGAATCTCAGCAATCAATCCCCACTCTTCACAGGCATCACCTGGCCATGCAGATGTGAGAGATGTCACAGAGACCTGGGTGGAATACTAAGTACTGCACCGAGTGGGAAGCTCCTCCTCTTCCTGCTTTCCTCCTTGGATGCGGGGTTCTCCTGTCACTCAAGGTATCCTGAGACGGTGAGAAGATTATGCAACTCTTCAAGGCAGGGTGTGTATCCATAGCAACCTCCGTTTACCAGTGTCAGTGGGAGATTGGGTTTAATGTGCAGGTATGTGGAAAGAGGATTGTCCTCCAATCAGATCTGACAACTTGAGCAAGAAGCTCCCAGAGATAGAGATATTAGTGAGTGGGATTTAAACAGAGAAAGCATGAAGACACTGTACACATGCTTATCATATATTACGTGACAGCAATAAACATGTGCATGTATAGGGTCGTTCTAGTATGCGGTACATTTTTATGTCCCAACGACGTATGTCTTAATAGAAAAAGTATTAAAAATGGAAATCAATGTTATAATAAAGTGAACAATGGGGTGATTTTATAAATGTTCATTTATTAATTAAATTGAATTAATATCACTATTTTGATTTTATTTTTGCCAGAATCTTCAATACACTAAAATGGAGCTTCTATGGATACAAAAATAAGAATTTCTAAATTCACCTTCCTGATCAATGTCTTTATATCCATCCTATTAGGTTCCATCCTGTTGATTGTATCAATAAGCTATAATTAATAAAGTTTCAATTTAAAGTTTTTTTCATTTTATTAAATTTTCCTACTAACTGCCATCTTAACAAACACACACAAGCATATTCATTTAAAAAAATAAATATAAAACGGTACTGCATAACAGGTTCAATAACAACAACACAAAAGATTACATTTAGATGTAAATAATTGGTCTTTTTTGGTCAATTCTTAAACAGAATAATCATAGTGCAGCTCAAATTAATTGCTTCTGTATATACTCAGAAAAAAATAACTATACAGAACAGCTGATGACATTTATGGATGTGACCAGACAAACTATTCCACATGCCAAACTCCTGAACTCTATCAGAATGGTGATAAGTGAGTGTAGCTTAGGGTAAAAGTCAACCACTTAACCAGTAGCATTTATTTTAACTTCAGCATGCATCATCCAACATCTGCAAAACACAATCAGGACCAGGTCTTCATCACACACACACACACACACACACACACACACACACACACACACACACACACACACACACACACACACACACACACACACACACACACACACACACACACACACACACACACACACACACACACACACACACACACACACACACACACACACACACACACAAACAAACAAGCACAACAAACACACACACACATAAACAAGCAGTTCACAACAGAATCTAATTACTTCTTGACCTACACACAAAAGCAATTACATACTGCTGTTTACATGTCACTACCTTCTCGCTGCAAACCAATGGTATGGAAAATATGTTCCACAGTATGTTTGTGTATTTTAATCAGTTTATGTGTATGCATGCAAATATATTTGAACGTGCGAGTACATGTAAGGTGTTGAATATCCTCAGGCATACACCCACAAGAATTGATTCATCTGCCAGTTTCAGGGCAGATCCCATTATCAGCAGTGATTAGAAAATACTGCTTGATGGCTGAATAAATGCTTAGGGAATTAATATGCTAAAGATGTACTTCTAAAATGAAGAAAATGCCTGTTGATATATTTTTTTTTTTTAAACCACAACACAAAAATTTGAAGAAAATATCCAACAAAAACAACAGAGAAAACGGACGGACAGAGTCTCTCTCTCTCTTACTCATCATCAGTGTAATGGCCATACCTACACATTCATTGAGACCGTCTCCAAGCACTGTGAAATTACACTAAATAACTATTGTACACTATTTTAACCAAAACAAATACATAAACCAACAAATGGATTTTCACTAAGTTTGAAATATTAGAAACCCGACTTTAACAAACACTTCTTAGTACACCCAAAGCTACCAAAACTGCTCCATTATCATGTTCGGATGATAAAGATTTACAAAAACAATTAATAGGGCCCTAGGGTGCTGCTTTTGTGGTGAAACCTGTAAAGACTATATTCAGAATTATTCAGAAGGGATGATGAAGTGAGAACTTTCTCTTTAATGAGCTCCAGTAGCAAGGAGCATGGCAAGCCCTGCCAATTTGAAACAGTCACTTCCTACCACGCTATATCATCCTTTAATCTCCGCAGAACACTTTGTGACTTTTCACCCTTGCTGTTTCAATGTCAAAGACATTTTATATAAGCAACTTATTTTGTATGGTCTCCGTCTTTCTAAATCACATTTCGCTGCATAGAACACATTAGAGCAACATTGCATTTGTATCTCTTATGTACCCACCAGAAGCACTAATTAAGTAACAAGTATGCTTGTTAGTGCAACAGAGATTTAGTTTATTGTGATGGATGCTATGCGGTTGTGGGCAGTGAAAATCAAACGTTCTTGGTCTTCGCGATAATGATCCATTTGCTTTCTTTCGTTTTAAAGAGCGCTGGTGATTATATGTGACCTGGCTAATTCACTGAGGGCACTGTATCTGGCAGGGTGTTTGTGTGTTCTATTGTCAAGGCTCCACTAGGCAAAGGTTGAAGATATTCCTGCTGATGTATTATACAACTTTAGGCTTTTCTGTCCAGTTGTGGAACTCGCAGTACCTATTTATGTAACACCGCACTGTGTAAAATGATTACTGATGTTGTTTGGCTTTATAGTAACATTGGCCCATTTAAGTGAATAATCATGGAAGAATATAACCTTGTAGGTACGCTCAATGCTACTTGATGTCAGTTTGAATTATAGACATGGGTTAAATTTGCACCAGAACAGTTTTTGTTGCAATTCTGAACCCAGTAATGGAAGAATTTGTGGGAATGTGTATTACTTGCATACTTTTGGGAATGTAGAATTTGTGTGCTTGTTTTATGATAACTTTTTAATCGTGACAACAACTGCATTCCCTGAAACAAAGTTCTATCGACTTTCAGGCTCTCCTTATTTCCTCCCTGTCTGAACTCTATATGTTTGATTATATTTCTCCTGCAGGCATTTCACTACCACCCTTTCCTTTAAACATCCTCATATCTTCTTTGATATGCTCATTCTTACTCCATGTACATCTCCTCACTTACAATTTTTTCGAGATTTTAAATAACTGCAAGCACTAAAAAATGTTATGTGTGATGCATCTGTTCAAACACTAGATGGCCATCACATAAAACAAATCAATGCACCTCTTGACTGAGCTGAGATTTATAGAAAATCATTTTATTGATCTGGCTGTTACTTTTCAATATTATTTCTTAAAAGCATTAGTATAATTCATTATGCAAATGTGATTGTATATTGAAGTCCTCTATATTGAAGCCGAGAGGGAAACAGTTCCCTCACATGAAAGTAAAGATTCAGAACAGCATGTTTATTAGCAACATCTGAATCCTCTGAACATCTGTATATAAGCACATCTGAAACAAAGCAAAAAGCCTTGCACAGCGCATTCCCCAAAGCACTATAATGATGTATATTTTAAGCACAATTAGCTTATAACTATAGCAAATGCAGTCATTTCACATACAGTACATTTTGTGCAAATACACAATGGCATATTGTGGAGCTCTGGCTTTAAAATACTGTGTCCTACAAATAACCAAAGATACACATGCAGCCCCAAGAAAAAATTGTTATAAAGATTTTATGATATCACTTTTTTGCATTTAATATTAAACATTTTTTATGAAATAAAGACATTATTGCTAAATATAAATGCGAATCTATTTATTTCAAATATTAGTCTTAAATCTCACTCTAAAAATTTAGTCTGAAAAATCTAGAATTACTGTAAATATTTATGCAAACTGGGTGGAGTTAAAGCCGAACCAAACTGATGAAATGGGCAAGTGGCAGAAGAACTGAGCTCTTAAAAGAGCTGACAGAAAGTCAAAACAAATAGGACAAGAGCAAAAAAAAAAAAAAAAAAAAAAAATGTTTTACTTGAGTAAGCTAAT